CTTGTCCATTCAAAAATGAAAAAAAAAAAGTTTTCCAATGTGGAAATCTGCGTCATAGACAATCATTGTAAGTCAAAGCAGAGAAAAAATGTAAGACATTTTAATATGGCAAAAAGATCACATTAATATTGTCCGAATCTTAGTCACCTATTTATTACAACATTTCGGCCGTTGTACGCTCCGGCTTTCTTCAGGTGGTTGGAATGTCGAACTGAACCCATTATTTCGCTCACTGGGGTATAATGCTCTAGTTCCACGTGCCATGTTCAATCTCCTGTTAATTCCCCTTTCCAAGTTCTCCACTGCCTTTACCGGGTATTGAACTCACACTCTTTGGGTCCTGTCACTGGATCTAACCAACGCCATTATGCACTGTGTCATGTGTCGTTGAGGACACCTGTGTATGAATTTCTGGGTATTATAAACCTAATATCTTAGCAACCATTTTTACCAGTGTTCATATTGCAATTTTTTGCTGTTATCATTACATGTTTTTACTAGAGCTCATATTGCAATTTTTGTTGTTATTATCGCTTTTCTCTAGCAAAACTTGTATTGAAAACCTAAAATCTGAATGAGGTCCAGAACAGAATCTTTTTGAAGGTTAACATAAATAACTTGAAGGTTAACATGAATAACTTTGAAGTAAAACTTCAATTTGACACAGACATTGACATTACAATAATTAATGAAAAACCTTCAGAAAATATGGATGATCCTAAAAGATAAAACATTGCAGGTGGCGTCCCTGGAAAAAAATTATAATCTCATACAGATGCTGAATGCAGTATTTTATATTTTTTAAACCCTTTTGTATCCACTCTTAAGATTTTGACCAGTGGTGTATCTGGAGATAGTTCGTTCAGTTTAAATATTTCTCATTCGCGATTGACAATACCAGCAGAAGTAATGAAATCTTCGTCATCTTTTGTGAGATTTAACCATTAACAACCTGAATGAAATGGCTTATGTCTGAATTCAAGGCAGCAAAATATCGCGAGTTATAAATTTATATATTGCAGGTTCTTTGTCAGACTTACGAGCCTAGAATTATTGCAACGTCTAAAAAGCGTATCGAAACATCGAACGGTTCCGTATAGGATGCATGGTTCGAATCCTGTCATTGACCGAAAAGAACGAATATTTTCTGTGAAAATTTCTTTCGGACATTCAGCGCCACCATTCCTAAGCCGGTAAATGTTATTTAATACTGTTTATCATAAACAGAGCATTTGCTTAAATACTTGTATCTATAAAATAACAACGTTAAACATAAAATGTCTTTAATAAATAAATAAATTGTCGGACCTTGTCCATTTCTTTAAAATATATATATATATGTGTGTGTGACATGTGTGATTGATAAACTCCTACGAGAAAAAAATATTCTCAAATGCCATATTAGTAAATCGTTAGTCTTAAATTTCCCAAAAAACTAGGTTCAACCCGGAAATGTGGGAGGTTTTTTTTTTTCAATTTTAGAGCGTTGCGACTGCATTAATTCCAAAACTGATATCAGAAAATTGATATCCGTTAACAATAACACATTTTAAAAAAACTGAGAATAGGGAGGATTGAGGAAAAAAAAAACATTTCGATTGGTTGATTTAAAATTTTTTCTTCTCGGGATGCAGGTGGGAATGGGGGGTTAATTTGTAATTTCAACAGTAAAATGGTAGGAAAATATTTTCCATGCCTGAAGATGACTGAATGTACAGACGATTTGAAAGAACAAAAATATTACGCGCATTAAAGAAAAAAAAAAAACCTTATACAGCTTATAATTTTTAAAAACAAGGATCATAACATGAAGACAGTAGGAAAGCGTTGTTCATCAAGTGATTTGCACCTTTAATTATGTTTGCGACGGAATGAATTTTGCCATTTTATATCATTAACATTTTACTAATCTACAGGGTTTTTGTATGAATGATTCATTGTAATATATATATATATATATATATATATATATATATATTAAATTGATAGTCATTCGAACACTGAATAACAAGTTACAAAACAGACAAAAATGCATGAACAATCAGGTTTTGTTTCGACGTCTAAAATATCTCATCTTGACTCGACTTGAACTAGGCTTGCCTAACAATGATGTTGTTAGTATCGTTTATTACCATCAAAATTGTTAATAGTGAATGCTGATAATCTTGACGAAATAACAGAAAGAGACATTTAAAATTTCTCATGATGAAGAAAGTGGTTTGAAAAAACATCACTGGATAAACAAATGCAAAATGCTATTTTGGATGCACAACGGGGAATAGTAGAGATAGCGAAGTTCAAATATAACAGTTTTAAAGGACATTGGAGTGTTGCTCTGAAGAAAATGCTGAAAGGACCTTGTGATTTAAAGGGTACGCATAATTTTTTTAAAAAAAAATTAACCCTCTGTCACTCTGACTTAGAACCTTTCAATTTATTTGTATCCTGTATATTTTTTCGTTAGGTTTCGGGCACACGTACAAGAAACCTTTTTTCAATT